GTATTTCGCCGAGTGTGGGTTTTATAATAAAAAGCAAAACAAACGGAATTTTTTATGTTTTTTGTTTTTCTTTTTAGGTAAAGTAAGTTTTCCTACTATTTTTTGAACAGAAAATATCCGGTCATTCGTGATATTTCTTCTAATTCAATTAAAGTAAGCTTAATGTGTCAATGTATGCTTGGACGTATAATTTTAGATGTTTTAGACAAACATAAAATAATCCCAAGGAAAATCCCTAATAGTCCTGCACAATTTTCGAAATATTCCCGAATAAGTCCTGTGATATAATTCAGGGCGTAATCCTGATCATTTTCTGAAATAATTCTGAAAATTGAAACACGAAAATCCCCGATATAAAAAAAATAAATTCCAAAAAACTTGAAATAACGCCGAAATCGAACATAGAAATTTTTCATTTTAATGTTTTTAGTCGTTCATGAAACGCAAATTTATGGCGAAAATGTAATTTTAAGCAGAAAAATTCCGAAAGATACCAAAACAAAATCGCGAAAGGTTTGAAATATCCCGTAAAATACCTAAAAACACTCAAAAGTCCCGCAAAGTTTCGAAAAATATCGAAATACAAATTTTCGAAGCATATCGTAATTTAAAACATGAAGTAATCTCAAAAAATAAAAATGCTCGCAAGTCCCAAAAAAGTTTTGAAATATCCCCTAAGATTTCTAAAAACTCCCAAAAGCCCCCAAAAAATATCGAAATACAAACTTTCGAAGCATTTCTCGAAAAATTGCACAAATCAAAAAAGGGGGATCTTGAAAAATGCTAACAACTAGGGCGGTTCCGAAAAAAAAATCCGGAAAAAATTGAAAATATCCCGAAAAATTCTGAACAATCCTACAAAATCTTAAGAAAAACTCGAAAGATTGTTAAATTAAAATCCAGAAGTAACCCCAAAAAGTGAAAAAATCCCGAATTCCATTCTTTCAGATTTCTCGAAATAATCCCAAAAATTTAAACACAAATAGTTCCGGAAAGTGCTCGAAAAAATTTAAAAAATCCACAAAAAAGCTCGTTCATCATCTTTGGCTTGAAAACATGAAAAACCAAAATTGTTGGCACTTTTCTTCAAAATAACATAAGTAAACTTAGACTTAACTTAGTAGAAATTGGTTCCTTTAAAACTGACTTTTATTTACAGAGTCTGCCCTAAAGTTACACTTTTATTAATACGCTCAAAAGCAAAAATATAAAATTTGTTTGAAATTGCAAAGAACAAAACGAACTTGCAAATATAAGCGGAAGCATTATTGATAAATTTCGTCATATCCAATCGTCATTCTCCAAATTACTAGCAAGGTAGCTAAACACAGTTTCTTCTTACATACAAACTTCGCCGAAATTGAAAAACGAAACTTTCACCACACCTGTAAACTACGTAATTGATTTCGACCTTATCTCGCATACCAACTCCCCATTTAATTACGCAAATCACTTTGACTTAACTTGCTCGGCCATCTTGGTACTAAGCTGGTCATATCTAATGAATTTCTCAGCCACCGTTGCAAATGGCGCGACCTAAATATTGTTGGCTGCTGCGACTTGCAACTGACAGGCGGCGACTATGCCGCATAGCTGATAATGGCGCAGGCATTCCATCACGACGCACATATGATTACACGCGCGCGCTTCCTCCCAAGCTGCATATTATGTATGTATGTACTTAGATGCAAATCAGGCGATTAACGTCCATAAATGGCATGTGGTGAGACCGCACTGCCGCACAGTAAGGATGCGCCTAATATTCCCTTTTGCAGGCAAATAGACAAAACCCCATTTGCGCATGTGCGCTTTGATCTTTATCTATGTGTGCGAATAGTGGCTGCTGTCGCTGCAACAGAATGGCCTCCTTTCAAAGCCTAACTTATGCCGCACTGCAGTAGGTTTGTTAATTTGTATTTGCGACTGTCATAAAGCAAATTCCGGCGCGCATGTAATCAGGTTATTGCATCTGGAGGTAATTTAATCAGCTACGAAGGGAGTGCTTGTTAATTAGAATAGGAAAAAATTTTAGTGTTTCACATTAGGGGCTAAACGCTAATTAATTTGCTCCTCTTGCCTCTTTATGTTTGAAATAAATTCAAGATCTTCGACACACAGAAGTCACACAAAAGCCAGCTATTTTTTATGCGAAACTGAAAATGCCACTTTAATTTGGTTGGTTGTGATTATAGTTTTTTTCAATCCCTATTAAATATATAATTTAATCAAAACTAAAGTCTAGTCGACCGCTCTACCTACATATTCCATAGAACAGGCACAGAAATGGCCTGAAGTCGACTAACAAAAAACCAGGAAAAAAAATCCTGTATAAATGCAGCAAAGAACGACGTCCACAGCCATCTTTATTAAGACTCCTTTTTAGATATTCTAAATATGCTCCTCACCTTCCCATCCTACATAAATTGCTACCTCCAATTTAAATCGTATTACGTAATTCTTTTTTCTTGGACACAGAAATGTTACTGAGAGAGAAAATATCCGATTTTATTGCTTAACAATGTTTATCAAATTACAAATATTAAGCACAAATAAGTACCAAATAGGCAAAATAAGGACCAAATTTGATTTAAATTGATATATGTATCTTCAATTAAATTTTACAATTTTCATTTTCTCCTTTTTGTGTATCCAAATACTATTTATCTGTGTAATTGTGATTGTAAACAAAAATATTTGTTAGAAAATGTTTGCACACGATGCTGATGTGAGAATGCAGGTATGCTTATACATACAAATGTACATACACTGCCGGCCAAAATAGGATGGATGGTATTTTGTTTTTAATATTTACCATGTTTTTCATGGTCAAATTTTTTTGTTATTTTTTATATAAATATCGTTCATGCTTTAACAAAAACCATTTAAAACACACTTTCAAATTTTATACAGAATTTTGAAATATTCCAAATTTTTTTTTCTAAATTTCGAGCTTCTTGTTAAGAAGTTCTATACAATTTTGGTTATGCTGTTAACAAGCTTATAAAATTGCATTGATTTTTAATATTTTTTTTTTTGCTGACGGCTTTTGCGGTTTTGCTATATAAATAATGAGATTTAGGAAAACTGGCGTTGATTTTTTTTATTTTTTTCGCAAGCGGTCTTGCGCATATTCTTCCACAAGAAATTCATGTTTATATGGAAAAAAGTGCAATACGCCGTTAACAAAAAAAAAAAATTATTAAAAATCAGTGCGATTTTTTTGTCGCTCAAAACTTGCAAAAAAAAAAAAAATCATAATAATTCTGGTTAAAAAGCTCGAAATTTAGATAAAAATTTGTAAATTTTTTCTAAATTCTGTATAAAATGTTAAAGTGTGATTTATATGTTTTTTGTTAAAGCTTGAACCATATTTTTTCTAAAAAATAACAAAAAATTTTAGCTTGAAAATTGTTGTAAAAATTATAAACAAAACACCATTCATCCATTTTTGACCGCCAGTGTACATATGTCCATATATGTGCGCACTCATTCAAGGACATACAATTTGACGAAAGCAGCACTAATTGAATTTTTTTATGCCATATATTGTAAAATTTGCTTTGCTGTTTTCATTCAACTTTAAGTGCGCAATCAAATAATGGAAATGAGTTAAGCAAACAAGAAAATAAAATTGATAAAAAGTGAGCAGCAATGATATAACAAAAGTCCAATTGTAATAAAAGTAAAATGTATGCATTCGTAGATATAGATATGCAAATACATACTCGTATGCACAAGTTTCATTACGAAAATAAAAGAATTTAAATTCTTGGAATATGGAGCTTGGTACCAGGAAATAA